GCTTGTGTGTGAAAAAATGCAAAAAACTTTTTACTGACGATATAATTTTTTTGGGATAAGTTTTACTGTTTTTAAACACTAATATTTGTGTTCAGTGAAGTCTCCCGAGTGAAACAGTACCCCCATGTTCATGTTTTATGGTGTCCCAGAAAGTTACAGGGTTAAATATAGGGCTTGTGAGCCAAATTCTCTGGACTTTCAGCCTGGGTTGTCGGGCAGGTCTCTCAAATTGTAATTAATAAAATGACTTGATTATGTAAAAATATTATATAAATATATTTGTAGAATTTAAATTATATATATATATATATTTTTTTTTCATTCTAAATTTATTTTTAATGTAATATATGTATATTAATATCAATATCCAGTTAGAACAAATTAAAACTGGTATATCTTTTTTTATTGTTTTTTTTAAATTTATCTATTGATTATTTTTATTATATATATATATATATATATATATATATATATTCACACACACACACACACATATAACTATAATTAGTTTTATATATATATATATATATATATATATATTTAACATCATTCTATGTGTATTTTAATACATACATACATATATGTAAATATACACACTTTTATTAATGGTTTATGTATGTGTATGTGTATGTGCATATAAAAGTACTTAGATCATATAGATATATGTATATGATCCAAGTACTTTTATTTACTTTATTAACTTTTATTAACTTTATAAACTTTTTTGCAGGCATTAAGGGGACTGTACGAGAGCTCAGGCAGGCCCCCTACAGGCACTGCATAAGCCGGCTATTCCAGCCATGTGATCACAAGGGCCCCGTGATCACATTGTCGGCGATTGGGTAGAAGGGGTCTGCTTGAGCTCCCAGGCAGACCCCAGGATTGTGACCCTCGGGGGAACGGCGGGGACCCAGTAAGTACCCTGGACGGCAGGGACTTTCTATTCTGCCCGCCGGCATTTAGGACCGCCCCAAAAAGGGTGGCATAGAACGTCTGCCGTCCTAAAAGGGTTAATGTAGTATTTCTTATCTCCTGCACTGTTAATAGATTGCTAGAGCCTGCAGCTGAAGGAGAAAAAAAAAGTACAATGTGTTTTGTATTCATTTTACCATTAATATAAATTGTCTACGGAGCTTGACATACAGTAAGGGAAAAAGGTATTTGATCCCCTGCTGATTCAGAATGTTTGCCCACTGACAAAGAAAGGATCAGCCTATAATTTTAATGGTAGGTGTATTTTAATAGTGAGAGACAGAACAATAAAAAGAATAATCCAGAAAAACGCATGTCAAAAAAGTTATAAATTAATTTGCATGTCAAGGAGTGAAAGAAGTATTTGATCCTCTATCAATCAGCAAGATTTCTGGCTTCCAGGTGTCTTTTATACAGGTAATAAGCTGAGATTAGGAGTACTCTCTTAAAGGAAGTGCTCCTAATCCCAGCTAGTTACCTGTATAAAAGATACCTGTCCACAGAAGCAATCAATTAATCAGATTCTAAACTCTCCACCATGGTCAAGACCAAAGAGATGTCCAAAGGTGTCAGGGACAAGATTGTAGACCTACAAAAGGCTGGAATGGGATGAATAGGTGATAACAGTTGGTGCGATTATTCGCAAATGAAAGAAACACAAAATAACAGTCAGTCTCCCTCAGTCTGGTGCTCCATATTAAGATCTCACCTAGTGAAGTTTCAATGATCATGATCTGTGGAGGGAGCTAAAGGTACGAGCTAAGTGTCAGCCTCAAAACCTTAATGACTTGGAGAGGAGCTGCAAAGAGGAGTGGGACAAAATCCCTCCTGAGATGTGTGTAAACCTGGTGACCAACAACAAGAAACGTCTGGCAGACGGATCTTCTAAACCGCACCCCTCCCCCCCCCCTTTTTTTTTTTAAATGTATTTTGCATTGAGCAGTGTTTGTGTGTTTGAATGTAAGCATGTTTTTGTATGAAGCTTGTGTGAGTGAATGTAGGGGTGTGTTAGCATGTAGTGTTGGCATTTGAATGCAGACATGCATTTTTGTGTAGTGTTTTTTTTAATATGTGGTGTGTTTTTATGTAGTGTTGATATTTGAATGCAGGGGTGTATTTGTGTGTAGTGTTGGCAAAATGCTGAGATGTATGCACATATAAACAGTTACTCAAATGTACACACACTGGCACACATGCAGATACATAGACACAGATGCACACACTGGCACATACAGACACATAGGTATACAAATGCAGATGCAAAGAAACACAGTGATGCAGAGATACAGACAAACACGGACACACATACAGATAGAGATACACAGATACAAACACATATATAGATACAGACATACACACTGACACACGTACAAAAAACACAGATACACACAGATACACACAGATACAAACACAGATACACACAGATACAAACACAGATATACATATACAGACACAGGTATAATTGTGTGTGTGCGCATAGTGTGTATGCAGTGTGTATGTAGTGTGTGTGTGTATACAGTGTGTATAGTGTGCATAGTATGTATGCAGTTTGTGTATAGTGTGTATGCAGTGTGTGTGTGTGTATAGGTTGTATGCAGTGTGTGTGTGTCTAGGGTGTGTGTATAGTGTGTATGCTGTGTGTGTGTGTATAGTTTGTATAGTGAGCAGTGTGTATTGTTTGTGTGTGTGTGTCCCGACTCTTACCTGTGTCCAGGGGAGGGAGGGACACATTACATTCCCTGGTGGTCCATTGGCACAGTATGGGTGCCCAGTGAAGAGGGGCCCAGGAGTCTCCACATCCAGCAGCAGCATGTCCTCTGTTCTCGAGATCCATGAGAGCATTGCCGCAGGTTGCCATAGCAAAGCGCAGCAACGCTCTCTCAAAAATAGAGGACATGCTGCTGCTAGATGTGGAGACTCCTGCAAGCGGCATGAAAATGCGCCCCGGGCACCCTGCTAGTGAGTGGCACCCAGGGCTGACTGCCCCCTCCACCTCCTCCTTGGTACGCTCTGCGTGTGACCTCTGTGATTGCCAACAAGGGTTTTGCCACCAAGTACTAAGTCAAAGGGGTCAAATTCTTCTTTCACTCATTGACATTCAAATCAATTTCTAACTTTTTTGGCATGCGTTTTTCTGGATTATGTTTTTTTGTTATTCTGTCTCTCACTGTTATAATACACCTACCAATAAAATTGTAGACTGATTATTTCTTTGTAAGTGGGCAAACGTTCAAAATCAGCAGGGGATCAAATACGTTTTTCCCTCACTGTATATGTGTGTGATTACACATCATTGAGCACAGCAGACGTGGAATCAGGCAATTAATACTTGAAACTGGGGAAAAGACAATGAGAGTAAAGCATTGGTTCCACAGATGGGCCCTTGGGAATACAACAAGAAAGTAATGAGATCATCTGGGTTGTACTAAGGGTGATGGTGAGGAGGAGGTTAGTTGGGGTCAATAATGACATTTGTTCTAAGGTCTAATGCCATTTCATAAATCACCAATTAGTCATCACTTACTATATCAGCAGAAGGATAAAAATAATTATGGATCTTGCTTAGAAATGTAAAATGTAACAAGAGTTAGATGTATATGGTAATCACCATTCTAGGAATTCTAGATATTAATTATTTTATATATTAGGTGCTCAATGATTTGTTGAATAAACATGGTTATAGTTTCGCTGCCTACACATTTTTTCACAATTTGTGCTTAGCTTTTTACACGCAACACAACTTTAGTACTTTGAGTGTACAAACAGGAAGACATTTTCATTGGGCAGTAAAAGCCAAAGCAAACGGTTGCTCTTGGCATTGTGAATGCATTTTTATTTTATCTGTTGCTAACTATATTTTACCGCTTTCCCAGCTGTTTAGTTTATATGTAGCATTATTGAATAAAACCATACTGATAGATATGGTTTATAGAAGGTGTGTCCTCATGTATGTATTGTGTATCACTTTACTAAATCAAGATTGTTCCAAGCATTGCACACTATTCACTAGTGGAGTTTTGTTTTCTGGTAGGCATCTTTACCAGCCATATCACGGTCAGAAATTATCTTGAATAGCAAATAAGTATGACATTTCTTAGTAAGATGACCAAATGGACAAACTGTATTTTATCTGCTGTCACAGCCTATGTTATCTACATTTAGACAATATCCTATAAATCATGCATGGTCATTATCTATGTACATTTTAATAGTTTTCAAGTTTCAAGGTTAACTGAATTTCTTAACTTCTGCAGTGTGAAGATACAAGAGACAGAAATTATATTTACTTAAGAAGACCTTGTGCACATGTTTGGTAAAATGTTAAACACCACACTGTCTAGATAAGCATTGTATGAAGCCATTACATAATTTCTCTTGAAGTTGTGGTATTTCTACTGCTGGGAATAATATAATGTGTTTAATTTTGTAACTAGACCTCTGGTTGCTAATGGAGACTGGCATTCTCTGGCCATCAGTCACTGGCACACATTACAGAGTGGTCTGACAGAATAGTAGGATTTTCAAGCCCTGTAATTTATTATCAATGGAAAGCAGAAATCTGTGTTCAGAATGTAGTTCAGGGTCTTTTGCCAATTAACCTTCTGTGAACACACTGTGCCTTTTTCTTATATATCAATTAGCTTACAATAAAACAAGGGGATCACATTAACGAACAGCAATCACTACAAGGACTCCACTAATTAAAGCAGACTGAAACAGTAAATAAGAACGGATTCCTCCTGAGTATGACATTTTCCAAATTACATAGGATAACCATTTATATGAATATCTATCTTATATGTAATGTCTTATGTTGATGTTTTACACATTTTTCCAGTGACTATGCCAGAAGCATCATATGAAATGTATATTTTCTGCACAAAAAGTAACACTTAAAGACATAACTAGGCATTGAAAGGTGTAAGACTGTTTTCTGATGGATCAATATATATATATATTCTTCCAAAAAGGATGCAGCACTCTCAGATTTAAAAGTCAAAAATGTATTAATATGAAGTTAAAAACGATCAACGTTTCAGTAGAGGACTTTCATCAGGATCAAATACAAAAAAAAAATTTTTTTGTATTTGATCCCGATGAAAGTCCTCTATGCAGGACTGAAACGTTGATCGTTTTTAACTTCGTATTAATAAATTTTGGACTTTTAAATCTGAGAGTGCTGCATCCTTTTTGGAAGAATAGATACTACTAGCCTTGGCATGCTAGCACTCGGTTACTAAGGGATTACAGCGTGAGTGCAAGAACATTTTTCATTTTTTTATATATATATATATATATATATATATATATAATTTGTGTGAGGGGCAAATAAGGCCGTATAGGAAGTGTACAAAGAGTAGCATAGTGAAGGGGGAAATAAGTCCGTTGAGGTGTGCCGGAACCAAAGTTGCGGTAGGCCTGTAATAAAAGAGGGCCCACCCATGAGGTGTAATGAAAAGTATAAATTAGAGGGAGTGGAGGGCAGGGACATGCGGATCGCTAAAAGCACGTACGGAACGGAGGAAGGTGACTAGGGGGTTTAAGTAGGGTAACATGCCCCTCCCACAACTGCAGGCCAAGCCTTTTAATATATAAATATATGTGCACTCTCAGGACTTTATTTGGTATTCTGGAATGCATTTTTTTCCCCTCATTCTAAATATACATTATACATTTTTCGCATTCTATATATAATAAATATACAGTATATCTCTGTATAATATATACACATATACATACAGTTTCTTTGTATTATTTCAGGGAGTATCATACCCACTCATGGCCAAATTTATTCGATCCCAATAAGAGATTAGGGATCATCCATGTGATGCCAATGATACACACATATATTTATCCATATGAAAGCAAGAATCAGCAGGTAGGCTGCATTTAGAAAATGCTATACTACATGTAATGTTATACTGTATGCCCACAAATTTGCATTGAAGTCTATAATAATGGTGGGCATATTATACATACACTCACCAATATACATATTTATACATATACATAGTTGCACTCAGTAATTGATAATTATGAACACTTTAACAGAGTATGTAGTCAAAGTGCTATAATAAGATATGCAGTACTTTTTTTTCTGTTCAAACCATTAAAAAACTTTTTATTGTAATTAACTTACGTATATGCTTCAAATTCACCATTGTTTATAGCTTCAATTAACTGTTCAGTAACTTTGATGATTTCTTGTTTGCGAGCTAAAATGTAAAAGGAACGTGTTTTAGTTTGAACACAAATACAATTTAACACAACACACGTTAGGCCTTTCATTATCCTGTATTCCCAACTAGGTTTGGTACATTTGGTCTGAAGATCTGTTAGTTATTCACAGTATATATTCTGTAAAACAATGTTCTATTTGCAAGTTACTTCACTTGTGCCTTTTATTTAGTGTCTACATGGATTCACAACGGTATCGTAAATAGAAACTTATATACACTTAATTCAACTTATATAGCCACATCTGACTTCCATTTTGGGGTCAAGAAGGATTTTTGCCTACTAGGTTTTGCCTAAGTGTTGCCTACTGGGTTTTTTCAACAGCAAAAATGGATGTGAAGAAGGCTGAACGTGATGGACACTTGTCTCTTTTCAGCCTATGTAACAAGAATGTAACAAATACGAATTGCAACTTAACAGTATGAGACTGTATGTTCTTTGCAGGAAGCATACACAAATAACATTGCTGACTGATCAGTGGAGACCAACTGCTGTTGGATTTTCATCTCCTATAACCCTCAGCTGAGAGTCATGTGAGCTGTAGTCCAGCAATATTTGACCAGCTGCTGCTGTTCACTAGAGTGTTAGAGTTTGCTCTCAATTGCACTCTGTCACCCTGAGAGTGTGGGCTCAGCGAACAATCCTGCTTGTTGTTTGCAAGGATTCATGTGCATCTGGAAACGATTATCTCCTGACTTCCTAAAATTAATAGAACAACTCACACAATGGTATTACTCCACAGTGACAACTAACATTAGGCGCTCACGTTCATTTCAGTTTATCTGGATTGTTGGAAACAGTTTATCACTGGCCTGGAATCTCATACTAACCATAATTAATGCAGGAGAAACAACTCTTAAGTAGCTTACAGAAAGCCTTGCTGGCTTGTTTATGAAGGTTAGATATTCCAAAAAAACAAGCAGAGATACAGATGGGATAGCTGAAAGGAGATATATATATATATATATATATATATATATACACACACATACATACATACATATATATACACACATATTCCAGCATCACTGAGAAAACTAAATGTAAACGTCATTAAACATATTTTAACTTAAACTGCTATAACAGTAATTATAGACACATAGGATACATTTATTTTGGTTTTCCTTTTAAATTAAATAATAAACTGTTGGAATAACTGGAATGCAGAGCTATATTTAACAGAAATCTGGTGCAGCAAACTCTACATTTTCTTTTTAATGATGGCCAGCCAAATAACTCCTTGAACTTGGTGTCAGGTTTTTTTTTGGCTCTTGGTTAGTTCAAACCTCATACTCCATATTGCAGCATTTATAGTGCAAGGGAGTGCATGGGGGTTGCAGAACATTACATTGAAATTTGGTCAAAATATTTTAAAGCTCTTAAACTAAAATGTGGGATTCCCTGGCACCAAAATCCAAACCCCACCGTGGCTAAGGGCACCACAATAAAAATGTCACTTACTATATACACAGGCCCAACAATTTTGTCAGGATCATCCTGATTTTGTGGTCCTGTCCCATTGTCTAGATTCTGTTCTCTGGTGTCATGGGTACTGCTACATCAGTAGCTGCGCTTGTGCTGTGATTGGGCACTAGGACCATGCAGAGAGCGCTTCAGCAGTGCTCTCTGCATAGTCCTGTAGGCTGGTGTCTGGCAGACTGTCAGTCCCCACACAGAGCAAGTATAGGCACACTGCAAAATAAACAACAAAATGCTAACATATTAACCATATTATGCTTACAGCTTTGTTTCTCTGGAAGTACAGAAAGGAGATATGGTGGAGTTTTGGACCATAAGCACCACAACTACATGTGTATTAGTCAATTTAAAGGAGTTTACCCAGCACAGGGTTACCCAGGCACTAAAGCATAGTTATACCTGATGTGGACTTCTATCCAGATGGAGTTCTGATAAATCATGAATTACAGTAAAGACAATAGGGAATATTATATATATCTCAAAACATCTACCACTATACTATAAATTAGCCTATATAGCAAGTCTATTGCCATGAATTTCTAGCAGAATATTATTTGCCTGCAACAAACTCCTTAAACCATGTCGGTAACAAATGACAAGGCTTAATTATCTACTAATCAGAAACCTATAACATTCTGTGCGTATAACACAAGTAACACAGAACTTTCGACCAGTGCAGATTATTTAATTATGGTTGTAACTGATGTTACCTTCAAGAAAAACATATTAATTAATAAATGATAATCTAATATTAGAGACCACACAGAATGGAAAAACTATTGTATTGTAAGTTAAAGGGACACTAAGCACCAGGGCCCACTATAGCTTAATGTTGTGGTTTTGGTGTAAAGGCAATGTTCACATTGTACTGTGAAAGCACAATTAGTAGCTGTAACTCTCTAAGACACTAGAGGTGTTTCCTTCTTACAGTGACACAATGTTTGCAGGACTGACATTCGGCATCCCTATGCTAAGTATAAAGACAGAGATGCTGACTGACATAGAGATTGCTTTGTATGCTCGTTGGGCCACCCGGTTCTATTCTTTTGAGAATCATTAGACAGGGTGGTCTCCATGGAAAGGAGAGATGGCTGCTGCGAGAATTAAAAGGGGAGTAATTCTTTATTTTACTTAAATTTTGGGTGTAAAAGTTTCCCCTAATGGTTAATGCATTATCTAGATAATGGATTCAAAAAGGCAAAATAAGTAAATGAAGAAAATATATATATTAGCATAAAAGTTCCCAGTCTAATCACTTTTTTAGTTTGTTTTCACTCTTCAGAAAGCAGATTTACAGTCAGGATAATCTCATTTGTATCTATGGGGTCTATTCTTATCCCATAAACACCTATCAATCTGGCAATTATAAATTGAGTTGTTTAAACCCAAAGGGCAGTTACACTCATCACATAGGATGACTGGAACTGTGCTAAAATCCGATAGCAGCCACACTGTGGCAGTTATACACTCATACATAGCCCAGTTTAATGAACTAGGCTGGGTGCAAGAAATGGCAGACGTGAGATCGGGTGCTTCGTGGAATGCTGCATGCACAGCCTCAAGCCTCCCAATACTTAAAATATTTAGTGACTGATTTTTGATTGCTATTGGTGATGGTATCTATATGGGTTATGACACTTGATAAAGCAGAATTGGGAAAGGCTCATGTACAAAAAGACAAAAAGGAATCGGGGGAACACCCGAGACATGCATTGTGCAGGAATGGCGTTGCCATAGTGACCAAAATTCATACATAATATAGATTAAGTTAGCACACACATGAAAATAGCTTTTTTAAATCATATAAGGATACTTAAAATCACCTATCTTTGCAAACAAATATGGGGATTCAGCTCCACCATATGGCCATATTGTGTTAAGCCAACCACTACTTCACAGTCCCCCAATATTGGTGGGTAATACACTAACTCAAAAATGTGGGAGACTAATTAAATAGTACTAGTGCTAAATATGCTAAAGTGTTATTAATCTATTGTAAGAGCATTGTGAGTATATATAATGCAAAATTCATGTGATAAAAGCAATTAAAAACCTCACTGATATTGAGGTACAGTGAAGTAGTGGTGGGTGGGAACAAAATCGGGACAGGATCTGAAATTCAGGACTGTGCTGCTGAAATCAGGAAGGTTGGAAGACCTGAATCATTGGTCAAAATTTGAAAAACGATAAAATTTGACTGCTGCCTGACTAACATCGCTGACGGGCAGTTCTAAGCCAATCTTAGAGCCGAGTGCTGGTGCAGTGTGTTTTGGGCACCACCAACTTTGCAGTAATGACAATTTCACAGTGATTCAATGGGCCTAATCCTCTTCTACCCTTTGCAATTGCCTATAGTTGAGAACAAACAAAACATTTTTTTACACAATAAAACAAAACTAACCCGCCCCG